AACCCCAGAGCCCCCCCCAACCAAATCTCCCTCCTTCTGAGACCGGCAACCCCAGAGGCCCCCACCCCAACCAAATCCCCCTCCTTCAGAGACAAGCCCCTGAGCTGGGGGACGACAGCGTGTGAATGGCTTTGCATGACTGAGTTTGTGCCATTCATTCCACACGTGGAAATTAAAACTCAGGTGACTGGGAGCTGATTAATTTATATTTCATGTCTTTAATTTCTGTGGTTTTGGAGGAACAAGAATTAAGTGACATTACCCATAACTCAAAAGGTTAGCATCTGAACCTAGTCTGGTTCCAAGTAAGCTTTGATGTTCACACCTTACTGACAAAATGGCAGAGAGGAAGAAGGGACAGGTAAGTTTTCACATTTGACTGGTGTTTGACTAGAGAGAGTTTACTACAAGCTATCTCATCAGCCCTTTTCCCCAAAAATGGAGTATAGCTGGGATTATCTCAGGGTAAGCACAGGGGTTCACAACCAGCCAGCCAATTAAAATTAAAGAGGGGAAAAAAGACCATCGAAAGGCAAACTTTAACTAGGCAGCACAGGATCACAGGCCTCCCAAGAAATGAGGCCTCAGACTGCAGGCACAGCACACAACCACAGGTTACTTGATGATAAGTGCATGAATTAATGACAAGCTGTCTTTTGGGAGTGACAGGAACTCTGAGTTAATATTTAATCACAGAAGAGTGGCAGTGTTCAAGATTGAATCATTAAAAATATACATTTATTTTATCAGATATTAAAATCAGGACTAGTCAAGGTAAACATTTTCATTTTCTTTTTAAAAGAAAGTTCATTTGCTTGAATAATTTTTCAATAATTGGTTGGTTCTCCTATAGAAAACGAGCAAAAGAGATCTAAGAAAGGGGAGGATGACAAAAGCAAAGTCCCTTTTGTCAAAAGACAGAAAATTTTGACCAGAATTCAAAATTTCATTAAAAAGCCATTTTTATCACAAGTAGTTATGAAGACAAAATTTCAAGCCATTTCTAATTAGCATGGGCTGATAAGATGGATATCTGAGTGGCATGACCCAGTTATCCTTTATTACGGTTACCATGAGGATGTCAAAGGGTAATGGATCATGGAGGGAAATTACTAGATAACATCATTTTAAGCAGAGATATTAAAACAGCTTACAGTTTCATTCTGCCTGCAGGTAAAGGAGCCAACAGACCCCTGGGGAAGATGGGGGGGACATGGCTCTGAGCTCCCAGAAGGGGGCCAGGCTGGAGGCAGCCAGTCCTCAGCACCCCCCAGAGCACACTGCACTGCATCCCCTCCCCTTCAGCCAGGCCTCAGAGCTGCCCAGTGTGTGTGCTCTACCTCACTCTTGCAGTGATTTAAAGGGGCCAGGGCTCCAACCGTCACTGTTCCCACTGGAGTGGCAGAGGCTGGGAGCCTTGGGTCCTTTTGAATCACCAGGCCTGGGGCAACAGCCTCCTTTGCACCCCTGGCTCCGGTGGTGATTTTGGATTTAGAACATAAACAACAGATATTAAAGTATAATCACATGCTATCACTTGAAGCAGCCTTCCAAAAACCAGTTTGTGACTACTACAGAACCAGGCTATTCTTTCCTGAGATTCTCCCATCTATTCATTTAAAATCTGGCACGAAGAGACATTCTTCAAACACACCACTCACACTAAGCTATGGAATCAATTACATTTGCAGGGACAGTACCTCCTCTCTGGCTTGTGTCGGTGCCTTTGAGAATGCCGGCTGCCTCTCATCATTCCTCTGTTATTGCGGCCCGGCGATGGAGCCAAAGCCCAGAGACCTCTCTGAAGCCGCTCCTCATTTCTGTGAAGTGGCACGGACGTACGGATAGCAGAGATGACATGGCCAGAATAAGGAGTTAATGGATCTTCATCACGGCGGGAATGCTGGGGTGCGAGAGCTCTTTCCGAGGCTGGGTACTGTAGCCCTGGCCTAGGATAACTTCTGTCATGGTAATAGCTTGGGAGGCAGGGCCGGGTTTGCTCCATCACACCACCACTGCAACTTCGAGAGCAAGCAGACCAGGGGCCCCAACTGCCCCATACGCCTGGGATTCCTGCATTGCCGTCTTCAGAACTTTGTTCTTCTATCCTCTGGGGAACCTGAGGAGACATGTTGACAGAATTAGAGTAACCAGAAATTACACTCCAATGCAGAGGAAAACTCTATTGCCTGGTTTAAAGTCATTCATTCCACACGCGTGGAAATTAAAACCCAGCTGACTGGGAGCTGATTTATTTAGATTTATCCAGAGGCTATGTCAGACATTTGCTTCATTGTGCTACACAGGAAGTAGCATCCCTCCTAGAACCAACATCCCTTCAGAATGAAAGTTGTTTTTGGACTTTCTGGACAGGGCTGGATTTCCCTTTGGCCTCCATAGTGGAAAATGCTGCTCAGTACAAAGTTCAGAAGTGTGGAGATGGAAAACTCTTTTTTCCTACACCTCAACAGCAAAGTCAGCTGGGAGAGGAAATTAGATTTAAAAAATTTCAAATCATTTACCACGCAGTGATTGAAAGATACTACATAAAAGATCGGTGTTACTTTTTTTAGCTCTGTGACATACCAAGATGCCTCTGCTTATTTCTCCCCTGTCAATGACTGAACAATAGAGATTGAAAGTGGTAAACTGAGGGTGACAAGACATTTCAAACTGAACTTTTTATGGAAGCAGCAAAACCAAGGAGAACAAGAAAAATGCACTTTTAAAAAGTGCCTTGCATCCTCCCCTTTTTCTATTAATGCAACTTGCTATGGACTGATCTGTAAACTTACAACTTCAGAAGGAACTGGTTTATAAATCTACTTCTGCATTGTTCATGGGACGAGAAATAAGACGATACAGCTTCTTCTACATACTTTCCTCAGCTACACAGTGTACTCCCACTCACTTGTATGGTATGAGGAGGCGCTGCCAACCCGTGCCTGTTCCTCTCCATGTGGAGCATCTAGCAACGAGGATAGCCTGCACAGGGCAGTAATGGATTTCCCAATTCCTCTTTATATTGCAGGGCCATGACTAAGATTGTTTAGTACTATGTTAAGTGTTTCATATTTGCAATTCAAAAATTAAGGCATTTTCATTAGATTCAGCTCATCACAAGCTTGTTTTCTCTGAATGGATGAGCCTTTAGTCTTCGAATCAAGTTTCCAAGGCAAATGCTGGAGTCTTTCTTTTATGTAAATAATGAGAAGTCCTGTGGCACCTTATAGACTAACAGATTTATTGGAGCATGCATCTGATGAAGTGGGTCTTTGCCCACAAAAGCTTATGCTCCAATAAATCTGTTAGTCTATGAAGTGCCACAGGACTTCTTGTTGTTTATGCAGATTCAGACCAACATGGATACCCCTCTGATTTTTTTGCATAAATATCATGCAAGGTTTGCTAAAAGTTGCTCTTTCAGGTAATGTTCTGGTCAATACATTTGTTTACTAACGCATCCACTGAACTTGAATTACAAGTCCCACACACTGCAAAGAACATTTCACTTGGAACGTGAAAGATGGAATAGTCATGAATATTTTTTTATTCCATGTTCAAATATGCATCCATTCACAAGGATGAGCTTTTAAAAGCTAGACATATAGATCTCTCTTTCTCTATTTTACATTTTCTTTTCAAAAGGATGGTCTCCTTAGGACAATAGGCAATGGACTTAGAAAAAAAAAGCAATGGGTTTAAACTGAGGCAAGGGAGGTCTAGGTTGGACATTAGGAAAAACTCCCTAACTGTCAGGGGAACGAGGAGTACAGCTCGTTCGGATTAGAAGCCTAATCTGAACTAGCTACTCCGTGCCGCGTGTAGACGCGCGGCACGGGGTTCGAACTAGCTGGGATTTAAAAATGGCGGCGCCCAGCTTATGCAAATGAAGCCCGGAAAATTCAAATCCCGGGCTTCATTTGCAAGTGCTGTATGCCTACATTACCCCGCTAGTTCGAACTAGCGGGGTAGTATAGACATACCCAGGGTGGTTAAACACTGGAATAAATTGCCTAGGGAAGTAATGGAATTACCATCAATAGAGATTTTTAAGAGCAGGTTAGACAAACACCTGTCAGGGATGGTCCAGATCAGGTGTGGGGAATAACATGGTGGCGATTCAACAGGGTTAGCCCTTGGAGGGCCCCCCTATATTGACCTGCACAGTTGCTGGTACTGGTGATCACAGCTCCCATTGGATGCAGATCGCAGTTCCCGGCCAATGGGATCAGCGGGAAGCAGCATGGACTGGGACACCACTTCCCGTAGCTCCCATCAGCCGGGAACAGTGATCCACGGCCAACAGGAGCTGCAAACGCCAAAACCTGCAGCCGTGCAGGTAAACATAATGGAGGAGGTCCACCAGAAGCTAACTCTATTGGACCGAATCCAGTCCTCAGGCTGATATTTGTCCATCCCTGAGCTAGATGATGCTCGGTCCTACCCTGAGTCCAGGGGACTGGATTTGATGACCTCTCAAGAGTACTTTCAGTTCTAGTGTTCTGTAATTCTTAATAACATAACTGTCATTAATGGTTTTTCTCCAAGCATCATTATGTAGTAGGGGAAGAGAACAACAACTATATTATTTGCCTCCACTCAACGTCTGATTGAACTGCAAACCGCCTCAGCAAATCAGAGCACATTGTGGAACAACTAGCCATAAACATGGGAAGGCTTTAGTAGAATGTGGTTTGCAAATAAGGCTTGAATACATATTACAAAATGAAATCCCAAGCCAGAACAAGGTTTGTGGTGGACTACATAACTATCAGTTGTGGTCTACATAATCTGAAACTAGGTTCTTCTCACTCTTTCATCACCAACCACATAAAAAAACCCTCTGCATTTAATTGTAACTAGCAAATAATAAAAAGCATCTGTATTCATGTGATGTGTTCTCAGTTTCTGCCATGTTTCTTAGAAAACTGGAGCAGATGTCTCTGTATTTAATAATATTTCCTTTTCCATGGGTAGCCCATTTGGCATCAACCTATTAAATCCAATTGCCTGTACAAACTAATAACTACATAATGGCTGAAATTATGAACAACATGCAACAAGGTACGAGTTTCTGGCAGATATATTTACATTTATTTCCAATAAAAGAAAAGCACTGGCTCATTATACAACCTACAAATGAGTAATTCATCAATTTGCAGCTTCTTCAATGAACACTCACTATTTATGTTAGAGATATAAGCAACTAGTCAAGTCACTACTTGACTAGTTGCATCTCTCCTCCCCCCGCTACCTCTATCAGATAGAGGCAGCAAGGGGGGGGAGCAGGAGCCAGTGCTGGGGGAGCCAGTTCTCCCCAGAACCATCTCTGTAGGAGGGGGGGACAGAAGAGACAAAGGGGATGTGAGCCAGTCCCAGACGCTGCGCCTCTGCTTTTTAAATGTAGCAAGAGCAGGGCGGCTCTTACTACATTTAAAAGGAAAAGCCCCAGTGGGATTAGCTCCTGGGGTCAGGAGCTAACCATGCTGTGGCTCTGCTGTTTTCCCCCTTCTCAACTAATTGAGTAGTTGATGGAAATTCCATCAACTACTCTATTAGCTGATTAAATGCATTTTAACATCTTTAATTTTTATAACATCAGGTTAACAGCACTATCATAACCATAAAACTAAGATAATCATCCACTATCTTTCTTGCACTAGTTTCAGGGAAATTTACTTGTCACAGAAGTAAATGTCCATTTCTATCAGAAACGTGCCAAATTTAATTTGTCTGGATTGCTCAGTCATTATTTTATGGCAATTCACTGCAATTCAATGCCACAAGCATTAATTCAGGCAATGATCAGAATCTAGCTTTTAAACAATCTGAAACAACCACTTTAAAATACACAGTTTTCTATAAAAAAAAAAGATATAGACATAAAAATGGCAAGTGTTGACCTGCAGAGAAAGACCTTCCACTTGTCAAATTTCACCACAGAAAGAGTTGTTTCAGAAATTATATTTTGACTGGCTAAAGGCAATGGGAAAGTAGTTTCACCCACATTAATCGCAGCAGTAAAACTAGAAATAGAACTGCCAGCTTTAATGTAGGTATTTAAATCAGAAGGCAATAATAAAACAAAAAAAGCCTAGCATGTCTCATTCATTAACGGGATTTATACACAGAGGTTGGGGATATCCTGAGAAAAGAGAAAGTTTAGATAGCAGATCTGACAGCATTTACAAAGCACATTTTTTCTTCAGCGCTCTTAACAAACATTAACTAAAACCTCACATCAGTCTTAGCAGGTAAGTGAGTGGATATAATTCTTAGTTTGCAGACTAAGGAAACAGGATTTGTCCAAGGCAGCAAAGGAGTTGGAGTCTCAGGGCTTGTGTATACAGCAGCTCAGTTGGACTACTCAGACCTCTTTAAACTGGACTCGGTTAAGACAAACTATGTATCTCTTAGGTCACAGCCACAAGTAGGAGTCACAGCTCAGCACAGTTAAGGGGTGGCCTGAGCCTAAAGGCAGACACATGCAACCAGGGAAGAGGGGTGATGGTGGAAAGGGAACTAATGAGAGGTGAGTGTTGGTTCTGTTAGACTACCATTCACCCCTCCTCTTCCATATGCCTGCCCCTAGTTTTACTTTCAGGCCTACGCAGACATAGCCTAAAACAACCTGTTAACTCGATGGTCCCTTGCTCCTACTCCAGTACTGAAACCATTTCTCTGTTAGGGTGTGTCTAGACTACAGAGTTTTGTCGACAAAAATGGACTTTTGTCGACAAAACTATACCTGCGTCCACACTACCGCTGAGTTCTGTCGATATAACGTCGACAGAACTCAGTAGTTTTGTCGACGCTGGTAAACCTCATTTCACGAGGCATAATGCCTTCTGTCGACAGAGTTCTGTCGACAGAAAGCGTTATTGCATGTAAACTGTCCTTGCGTCTACACTGACATGTCGACAAAGCAGCTTGCTTTGTCGACAGAACTGAATGTAGTGTAGATGCTCTTTGTCGACAGAAGCTTTGTCGACAGTATCTGTCGACAAAACTTCTGTCGACAAAAGCCTGTAGTCTAGACGTACCCTTACTCTCCATTTAAGACTTCAGTAGTCCCTTGTGTAACAATGCATTTGCCCAAAGGAAGACTCTGACAAG